TTTATTCACCGCCTGAGATGAACTGTAGGGTCAGAGAGGGCCAGGGAGCTGGGAGAAAGGGTTTTCCACCTATCACACTAGCCATGGTGAAAAAATAAATAGATAAAATGCTTGTTGTTGAAAGTCTAGGAAGCAGACACTCCAAGAAACAGCCGGTGGGGGCAGATGTTGGTGCAACGTTGAACAACTTAACCTCTCAAAATGTAAAAAAGCCTGTATACCTTTTGCTCTATACCATCACCCTACTACAGAAATTTTTCTTACAGATGTACTTACATGTATGCAAAAGATGCTATTAAAAATGCAGCAATGAAATGTTGGGACTAGGAACTGGTTAAATATGTTACAATACATTCCTACAATGAAATACTAGACAGTCACTGAAAAGAAGATATAGGAACTTTTTGTCTTTTTAAGGTTTCATTAGTTTTATCTCTGTAACCTTTAAATCATACCTCACAAATTAGCTTTTGTCACAAGTGGATTTAAAGAAAGCAGAGGACTCGAGTTCACTATTTTCTGAAACACTGACACAGAAAAGGAAAGGAAAGAATTACTTAGAAAAGATTCTTCACAAAAGACCCTCAGAAAAATCCCTAAACAAAAGTGAAATACTTAATCATTAAGTTTAATGCTAATCGGTAAAGGATTTTAAATCAATTCGCTGGCATTAAGTTTCTTGTTTAAGCCCACAAATCTTTCTCTAAACATTACTGACCCTTTGCCAAAGGATAAATGGATGAACTGAGCAGTACCTTATGACACAGCTAGCTGTGGGAACATTCTATAAAAAATGGAAAATAATTTTGTAAGAACATGACGGCAACAATCAGCAGCCAATATTCTCAGAGTTTCCAATTACCAAAAGCATATACAATTTTAGTCTAGAAAAGTAAGTCAATTTTATAAAATTAAGCTTTTTAGATTGAAGAGCATGCCGCTTTAGGGAATTCCCCGGTGGTCCAGTGGTTAGGACTCTGCGCTTCCACTGCAGGGGGCCCAGGTTCAATCCTCGGTGGGGGAACTAAGATTCCGCAAGCCGTACAGCCAAAAAAAAAAAAAAGCATCCCACTTTAACTGGCACAAAGATACTGAAAAATAGTCCCTAAAATTCTCACTAAATTTATAGAACAAAAAATATGCCCTTAGTTATTAAATGTAGTCAGTATTGGGACTTTTCAAAAACAGGTGATAGGGTTTCCCTGGTGGCACAGTGTTTGGGAGTCCGCCTGCCAATGTAGGGGACACGGGTTCGAGCCCTGGTCTGGGAAGATCCCACATGCCGAGGAGCAACGAAGCCCGTGCACCACAACTACTGAGCCTGGGTTCTCGAGCCCACGAGCCACAACTACTGAAGCCCGCGGGCCTAGAGCCTGTGCTCCGCAACAAGAGAAGCCACCGCAACAAGAAGCCCGCGCACCTAACGAAGAGTAGACCCCCGCTCGCCGCAACTAGAGAAAGCCCGCGCGCAGCAACAAAGACCCAACTTAGCCAAAAATAAATAAATTTATTTATTTACTTATTAAAAAAAACCAGGTGATATACGTGCCCCCAGCTGCTGGCCAGGGACTGGTAGATGGGTGGCTGAGAGCGGTGAACGTGCCCCATGGCCATGTTCTCTCCATAGCACAACTTCAAGTACTTATCCAAGATAGTGATTACCTCATCATTTAGAATCTGGGACTTGCGAATTCGAATTCTCTCCACCATCTTCCTCAAAGGCACGGTTTTCATAACTTCATCTTTGCCATCATGTTTCTGGACTTTAAGTAGATGACAGCAGAAATCCAGTACAACAAAGTGCCCCTCCCTGTCACCCAAGAATTGTGGGAATGTGAATTGGTGCAGCCACTATGGAAGATGGGATGGAAGCGCCTCAAAAAGTTAAACATAGAGCCATCATATGATCTAGCAATTCCACTGCTGGGTATTTACCCAACGGAAATGAAAACACTAACTCAAAAAGATACCTGTACCCCCATGGTCACTGCAGCATTATTTACAATAGCCAAGATATGGAAATGCCCTATGTGTTCATCAGTGGATGAATGGATAAAGCAAATGTGGTATATACGTGTACAAGGGACTATTATTCAGCCATAAAAAAAAGAATGAAATATCACCACTTGTGACAACATGGATGGACCTTGAGGACATTATGCTAAGTGAAATAAGTCAGAAAGAGAAAGACAAATACTGTATGCTGTCACTTATATGTGGAATCTAGCCCTCCGCCTCCCACCCCAAAACCCATGAACTTGCAGATGCAAAGAACAGACTGGTAGTTGCCAGAGGCACTGGGTGAAGGGGTCAAAAGGTATAAAATCCCAGGTATAAAATAAATACGTCAGGGATATGTAATATACAGCATGGTGACTACAGTTAATAATGCTGTGTATGTGTGTGTATTATTATTATTTTTTTGGCCGTGCCGCACGGCTTGTGGGATCTCAGTTCCTCAACCAGGGATCAAACCCGGGCCCTCAGCAGTGAGAGCACGGAGTCCTAACCACTAGACCGCCAGGGAATTCCCATATATTTTAAAGTTATTAAGAAAGGGGATCTTAAAATTTCTCATCATAAGGAAAACAACTACGTAACTTTGTGTGGTGATGGATAGTAACTAGACTAACTGTGGAGATCTACTGCAATATATACAAAGAGTGAACCATTACGTTGTACACCTGAAACTAATATAATGTTATGTCAGATCTCAATTTTTAAATTTTAAGGAATTAAAAAGATTTAAGTACCAAAAGCCTACATACTTCTGTTTGAATTTGCATAAAGTATTTCTAGACATATATCACAAGAAACGTAGTGGTTACTTCTATGAAGTGAGCCTGGCAGGTATTTTATATCCTCCTAAACTATTGAACTCTTTTTTCGCCATGTGCTTATATTATTCCTAAAAATTTTTTAACACTAGTTTCAAAATAGAGAGCACCTGATTTTAATCCTCTGGCTGTGTTATCCTTAGCAATTACCCAACCTCTCTGAGCTTGTTTCACCATCCATACAATGGGGATACTACGTACCTCATAAAGCTAAGATGAGGACTAATTCGGACAACATGCACTAAGCTAGTAACACAGTACACAAAATAGGCACTCGATAAATGTCACACACACCCCCACTTAGTGCCAAGAAAACTCGTAAATCCTCTTAATTCAACCTCATCTTCTTACTGGTAGAACACTAAAGCCAAAATGGTTTAGGGACTTGCCAAGGTCAATCATGCAGTAACCAGGAAAGCCAAGCTCTGATGCCTGGGTTCCTGTACCCTAATATAAAACCTGATTTCATATGAGCCAAGGAATGACTCTGCTACTACTCTATGGCCACACCTCAGTTCGCAGGACCAGCCTCCTCCCCTGCTTCACTCACCACATTTGATGAGCTGTGATTTTTCCTAAACACTAAATCCACCATCAACTGAGGGGGTCCTGCCTGGGAAGGCAGCCCCAAGGGGGAGCTCCAAGAATGTCTTGGTCAAAGGCAGCACTAGCCTCACAAGGGGGCAATAATAATTTGGATGTGGATGTGTTTTTAAAAATTGCTCGCACCTTACTGCATCCCTGCCACACACACACACACACACACACACACACACACACACACACACACACACACACAC